AAATACAATAAAAAGGAAAAACCCCAGAAAATACTTTGGCTTATGAAAATATAAGAAATTAACAATATGGAAAAACACAAATTAATAAAATGTACAATTGGACAAGAAGCTAAAGCTAAATTAATAGATTTCAAAGGTAGAATTTGAATTGATGATTGAGTCAGACTTAAAAATAACCTACCATATTTAAAGTGTAAGGTAACAGATTAAGAGGTAGCAAAAGGACATAAAAGAAGAAATTAAAGAGCATAATTTCGTCATGACAGCTTATAAGGAGATCCTTGACATGTGTCAAAATTCCTTGCTCAAGGGGCGCCTGGGTGGCTCAGTCGTTAAGCGTCTGCCTTCGGCTCAGGTCATGATGCCAGGGTCCTGGGATCGAGCCCCGCATCGGGCTCCCTGCTCCACCGGAAGCCTGCTTCTCCCTCTCCCATTCCCCCTGCTTGTATTCCCTCTCTCGCTGTGTCTTTCTCTGTCAAATAAATAAATAAATAAATTCCTTGCATAATTGTACCATGGCAATAGTTCAGAGTATTTCTTATAAATCAATCATTCAAGAAGTGGTCATTGAATATCTTTGGGCCAGACACAGGCGTGGGCATTAGAGATGCAGAGAGATGAGGTTGTTCTTGACCTGGAGCCCTCAGGTTTGTAGACCATCAAGGAAACTTACAGCTAATTGCTTGCTTTTTTTTGTTTGTTTTATTATCATTCACTAAGACCTAAAAAAATGTTTATCACTCTTTGGAAATCTGCTGGCAGATGAATAGACTTGGGCTCATATGGGACTACAAAATTAATTAAGTTAGGCAAAATATTTATCCAAATATGTGAATAATAAACAGAATACAGTAATACTATCATTGTGACATGGTGCAAAGTTAAGGAACAGTCCCATTAGACTGCCCTCATGTCTGACATCAACTGCAAAGTTGATGGGTCTCCAAACCTATCCTCAGATTTGGCAATTCTTTAGATGACTCACAGAATTCACTAAAAGTTATTATACTCAAAGTTGGGGTTTATTATATCAAAAGGATAGAGATTAAAAATAAGTTATTTTCACTCATCCGTGGAATTTTAAGAAACAAAACAAATGAACATAGGGGAAGGGAAGAAAAAAATAAAATAAGATGAAAACAGAGAGGGAGACAAACCATAAGAGACTCTTAACTCTAGGAAACAAAGTGACAGTTGCTGGAGTGAGGTGGGTGGGGGGATTTGGTAACTGGGTGATGGGCATTATGGCGGGCACTTGATGGAATGAGCACTGTGTGTTGTATGCAACTCATGAATCACTAAATTCTACCTCTGAAACTAATAATATGCTATATGTTAATTAAATTGAATTAAAAAAAATTTTTTTTAAATAAGCCAAGGTAAGAGGCACATGAACAGAGTCTCAGAGGTTCCCAACTCAGAGCTTCTAGTAGTCCTTTCCCTTTTGGGTGTGGGGAGTATTAATGCCTCCTGAAACACAACAATATTGTAACAACACAATACACATCGCCAACCACAGAGCTTTATCACATAAACAAGGATGACCATCCACGTGGCTGTTCTTTTAGTCCACAGTCCCTCTGGAGGTCGTCCAGATGCCACATGGCCCAAAGCCTCAAACATAAATGATATTATTACACTCTCCTGTGCAGCCCAGGGCCTCTTGGTAAACAAAGATACTCTTATCCTGCAGGACATTCCAAGGGCCTAGACATCACCTCCCAGCAAAGGGCAAAGGCCACACCTCCCTTTGGATAACGTTAGTGCTTTACTACACACATAGTCCAAAGAAAAATGATACTTTTTACAGTTTTGAATTAGATATCTGTCATTGACCATAACTTGAATTCTCCAACTATTTGCATTTGATGGTTCTGTCACATAGTTTTGGCTATTTCGATTGACTGCGGACCCAAAAGTTATACAGAGTTTTCTTACTGAAGGCTATTTTTTGTACTTTATTCAGATGAACGACTTCAGCAGTCTCGTCCTTGACTTACACTCCCAGCTGCCTTCCAAACCTTGGCTGCAGGAAAGAAGCCTGAGGAGAGGTGGAGATCACGTTGGGGGAAGTTCCGGGTTCTTGAGCTTCATTCTGGTGGCATGTGTTTGCAGCGCTACACAGGAAAAAAGGCTCCCTTTGCTTTACTTGAACAGCAGCATTTGAGTGACTTTTCCTTTCATAACCATGACATCTGCTACCATGGATAGGGAACAGGAATTGTGGAAACGTGAAGGACTAAAGTTTTAGAATTTGGTCTAAAAGTTTAACCATGAAGGTTAAGCTGTATCTCATAAGTACGAAACAATACAAGTATCACAACCAAGTTATGGCTATTTTTTAGGAAAGACAGAGGAGCATAGGGGGAAGAATAAAGGTGAGAGAAATCGAGAGGGACTCAGAAAAAGAATGGAAGAAGCAAATGGCTACTACAAAAGGACAGATGGAGCCTGAACACCACAGAGAAGCCACAGAGCACGCTAGTCAAAGAAAGCAGAAAGGGAAAAGAGGGAGTTGAGCGGATAGACCTTGTCATGTTTTGGATGCTTCAGCTGGGTATACCACCTGTTACACACTGAAATACTCCCCGCATTTATTGGATTTTGGGGTGAGTGGATGGATTACAGTGTTACCACATCTGGGAGATACTCTCTGATCAGCAAAAGTCCAATGGCGCCCTTCTATCCCATTCTTATTCTGTTCATTCTTCATTACACTTAGCAAAAGTGACATGAATTTGTATATTGTTTCTTTCCTCGTCCCGTTCTCCAGACAGCAAGCTCCACTGGCAGGGTTAGTCTTTTTTGCTGCTGACTCCCCAGAGCCTAAGGCTGTTGCAGGCACACAATGGGCTCTC